CCAGCGTTTTCTAGTTTCAATGCTCAGCTAATTCGTATGAACTTTCTGTTTGGTTAACTTTGGGCTTTTCTCGCATCTAAATAGCACGTATAACTTTGGAACAGATGGCTTTCCGGCTGCAGCCACCAGTGCTAATTTATGCTTAGCAACTGGTGTGCGGGGCGGTGTAGACTGGATGAGGAAGTTGGCCTTCCGATACAGACGAGTGAAAGAGATCTACAACACCTACAAAAACAATGTTGGAGGCAAGTGACCGTCACCTTGATCTCTTAGTGGGCTAGTTGAGACCTTCTGGAGAAAAGGCTGAGAGGAGCTCACACTGGTTTCACACTCTGTGGGGCTGGACCAGCTCTCTCTAGAGCAGTTTCATCACATATGGATTCTTCCTCCGTGATTTGGCAACGGAAATATCAGATGAGAGGCAGCTGCCCTGGCTCCATTCATATGTGACCTGGAGTCAGGTGGTTAATCTCTCAGATACTTTGTGTGTCCTAAAGGTGAAGTGGGATCCACAACCCGAGCCTAAAGCAGGAGGGAGGGGGTTTGCAAAGACCTTTCTCCTCCTGAGCAGATCCTTAGATTGATTGGGACCCAGTCAACTGTATTTCACAGTGGGATTCCTCATTAAAGGGAATGTATTAGCAGTGAAAATCTTAGGTATGGTCTTGGTTCCAGGCATGGCTAAATCCAGAGGTTCAAAGGATGCCCTCCATAATCTCTCGCCCGTGCCCTCCTTTGGGTAGGAGTCATTGCAGGTCATACCTTCCCAAGAGAGGGCAAAGAGGACCGGCAATAGCTTCAGATGTATAGTCTATTGAGTTTAGCAGTGTACTTCAATCCATTACCACTGGGTTGACGCCAGCGTGCACCAACCTCACTGGACAGAACAGAACCACCCCATAGGGCTTCCAAAAACTGTGAGTCTTTACGAAAGCAGCCAACCCCATTTTTCTCCCATAGATTGACTGGTGAGTTCAAACCCCGACTTATCCCTTAGCAGGAAAGTGCTTCACTGCTGCACAGCCATGCCCCTTTAAGCAAAAACAAAAATAATAAAAACTTTCTCAGTAGATTCAGTAAAAATTCCCTGGTTTTTCATTGGCCAAACGAGACGAGTTTGCAATCAGAAAAGACAGTGCTCAGAATTTGAAAACAGGCAGATGTCCTCTGTAGTACGAAATAAAAGCAGCCCTGTTGGCACAGTTGGTTGTTCTCCGCGAGTCTGCTAAGAATCTAACCGTAAGTTCGAATGCACCAGCCACTACTTTGGTGAAGGATGAGCTAGTCCACTCCCATGAGGATGTGCCGTCTTGGAAACCTGGGAACAGTGCTGCTCGCCCTGTAGGGTCGCTCTGAGTTGGAACGGACTCAACAGCAGTGGGGTGGTTTTGGTCTAATACTCCATGGAGTCTCTGGGAGGGGTAATGGTTAATGCACTTGGCTGCTAACCCTAAAATTGGAGGTTTGAGTCCACCCAGTGGCACCTGGGAAGAAAAGCCTGGTGAGCCGGTTCTGAATAATCCAACATTGCCCACCCCGTGGAGCTCAGTTCTACTCTGACACCCACTCGGTCCACTCGATGACAACTCTTTTTGTTTTTATTGACATACTGAAGTATCTGTCCAAAAAAAGATACGAGGCATGAACTCTATATGGGGGTTGGGGGGGTTTCCAAAAGTTCTTGGGACAATGACATGATCTTTCCAGTGCATTTCTCCAGGAAGGTTTTGAGTTGCCCGCGGACCTTGCAGCTTGAGGGTGTGGGTAGCAATAAGGTGACTGTGTCCCGGAAGTTGAAGAGACGTGCTGGTTAGGAAGTAGTTCACCATCTTCTTTTAAACCCACAGGTCTGCTGGGTCCAGCCAAGAGGGAAACCTGGCTGCAGTTGAGGGCAGAGATTGAAGCCCTGACGGACTCCTGGTTGACTCTGGCTTTGAAAGCACTCACCCTCATTCACTCCCGGTGAGGCTTCTCGAGGGCACCCAGCTGATGCTGGCAAGCAGGCTTGATCACACCCTTCCCGTTGGGAGACTTTATCTTTCAAGCGCTCTTTCCTTTTTTTTTTTTCCCTTCTGTTCTCCTAGGACAAACTGTGTGAATATTTTAGTAACCACTACTCAGCTCATCCCAGCATTGGCGAAAGTTCTGCTCTATGGATTAGGAATTGTATTTCCAATAGAAAATATTTACAGTGCGACTAAAATAGGTGAGCTCTTTTGATTTTACCTTTTTTGGTTTTGATACAGTCACTCCTACTCTTTCAAGCTAGTAAAAATGAAAGTCAGTAAAAGACTCCCCCTCCTCCATGCTAATATGGTGGAAAAGTAGAAGAAACTTTAACCAATTTGTGTTCAAAGTCAGCTCTCAATAGCCAATGAAATACAGTGCATAAGCCACATGGTTCAAGTTGTTTTCTCATAAGAGTTTGCTTTACTGAAATATTGTAAGACTTGTGCGTTTAAGGTGAAGTCAGCTTAACTCTTGAATTATTTTGATCATCTCAGGGATATTGATGAAAAGTTATTTTGTAAGCTTACAAAAACAGGCTAGGTCTACATAAAATTACAATAAAACAACTCTCACAGGAATTTTATTATAACTGTAGCTCTGTTCTTTTTGTTGCTTAATTAACATGTATAAGGTAGCATCAAATAATTAATGGAAACATGGAATTAAAAGATCATGGAATTTTTCCATGAACTTTTTGAAGCTCCCTCATATAAACCTTTGAACTCCCAAACACAACAGCAGCTCCTTTCTAGAACGTTGGGAGGAAGACTTGGCTTTCTGTTCCCCTAGAGATTTAGGCCCACAAGGGTAGTTCTACCCTGTCCTGTTGGTTGCTGTTAGTCAGAACTGATGTGACAGCAGGGGATTTGGTGTTTTGGTTTGCTAAGAATGGGGTAGGGGCAGGGCAGACTAATATTAAGCTTAATGGTTCTGTAGAGTCCTCTGCGGGTCACAAAGACAGTTAACGACTTGCCGATGACTGGACTTCTTCACGTGGTGCCCTCTCCACATGTGTCAAAGTAGAACTGGGCTCCCTAGAGTTTTCTGTGGCTGATTTCTCATTGATTGCTCTTCTAGGGACTCAGTAAGGGCAGAAGTGCGGTCTTTAGATGAGCCAGGGAATGATTTAGGCTTTCAGATGTGTAAGAGGAGAGGGAACCCACGAAGATGTTTGGGCAGGGGGATTAGATCAAGTAGTAGATCGAGTGGCTATTAGACCATAGCCACTCTATAGGGCAGAGTAGAACCACCCCTGGATTGCCACGGCTGTCTGTCTGTAAGGCGGTTGAGCAGAAAGCCTCATCTTTCTCCCACAGGCAGCTAGTGTTTTTCAAACTGCTTTTGATACCACCAGGACTCGTAGGCACTTAACTGCTAGGAGTCTGAATCACCTTAATGGCAGTGAGTTTTTATTCGTTGTTGTAGTTGTGTTTTAGGAAACACTATTGGGCCAAGGCAAAGCTCTTGTACACATAGATAAGCAAGGGAAGGCATAGGGGGGTGTGCCAGCATTTGACAAGTGGCACCAGGCTTGATGTGCAATCAAGCCTGGACTTGAAGGGTGACTGCAAGAGCCCGGGAGTTTCTTTTCTGAAACGTCTCAAAGCATTTACTGATGTTACGACCCTTCTCTTTTCGTAGAGTGACATTTCATTTTTTCTCAGCTGAGAGACTGAATAAAATCACATTCTCCAAGCAATGGTCTAAATTGGCGCTTTTCAAACTATAATCTCCTCCTCAACATCCAGATTCTGATTTAGAAGGCTCAAGTGGGATCTGTGAGTCTACATCTCTAACCCTAGAACACACTTTGACTTCCAAGGCTGAGCCACCCTAGGAACCCGACTGGAGCCAGAGAAGTTAGGGATGTCAGTGCTTCTCCAACTTGGCTGCCCAGGATCCCTGGTGAGCCTGTAACCAAACAAGCAGCCTGGTTCCTCCCCAGGCCATCGCCATCTAGTCAGGTGTGCAGCCTAGACAGCAGGTCTTAAAAGCTCCCCCAAGTGATTCTGATATGTAGCCAATGTTGAAAACCACTGAGTTATTTCAAAGAAGGGATCATTGAACGTAGGCGTTTGATGGTTTTAGAAAATCACTTGTTTAGTCACACTTTCATTCTTTAATAGGTTTGTAGAGCTATGCACCCAGTCCCGGTGTGCTTTAAACATGAGAATACAGACATGCCCTATGAATTAAGCCAAAAACATTTCTTCTGGTCCCTACAATGAAGCCCTTTCATTAAGTAATTACTTGAAGGTCTGCTATGTCCAGAGCTACTGGAGTCTTCTGGGTATAATAAAAAAATGAATAAAGCAAAGAGTCTACCAAATTATTTATTATCCAGGGCATGTAAGAATATATTCTTACATAGGAAGGATACAGAGGGAGACCACTCAATTCAAGTATTTGAAGCTTTCCTACAAGGACATGGGGATTTAAAAAATGACGTGTGTCTTTTAAGAACTGTATGTTATTTATGAATAAATATGATCTGCAGGAGAAAGATGAGGTGTTTATTTCCCTTGAAGGGTTACAGTCTCAGAAACCCACAGGGACAGTTTTACCCTGTCCTGTAGGGTCGCTGTGAGTCAGCATCAACTCTATGGCCATGAGTTTTGAATTTTCTGATCTAATAAAGTATGCAAATGAATATTATGTATCTAATTGATTCCCAGACTTATAAGCATTTACATATTACAGTCAGTCTTCACAACCTTTCCATTTTACGAATGAGGAAAAACTGAAACACAGAGACTTATTCAAGTCAATAAAGCCAGAAGTCAAGATGGGTTTCTCTGATTCCTAAGCCCACATTCCTTTCCATTTCCTTCTAAGTGCTTGAATGTGCGCTCTAAGCTGATGGGAGGCAGAAGGTGAGTGTTAGTGAACACCAAAGAGAAGGGCTGATATTTGAGTTGTATATCAAATAGGGTAGAGCTTCTCCAATAGCTAGACTCGCGTGAGTGAGACAAAGAGTAATGAAACGGTTTTTCTGCTTGGGGAATGGGCTGTGAATGGCCCTGATTGGACAGTGTGCAGAGCTCATGAGAAACTGGAACTGCCAAGGCAGAATTGGGACTGTCATCAATGGCCACTAAGGAAACAGTCTTACTCAATGTATCGAACCCTGTGGGAGAGGAGGGGATGAGCAACTTCTCGGTGGGAGGAAGGCGATTTCTGGCCACTTTGCTCCATTTGATTTTAAAAGGGGGCAAAAGTGGATTCTTTCTGGACCTGACTCGCCATCTGGCGACACTCTTCTTCCTATCCTTTTCCTTCAGCGCGCTTGCCAGCCTGTGGTTAAAGTGTTCTGTTCAACTAGAGTTCTTCTGGGAGAGAGCCGAATCTTTTGCCTCTAGAGGTTGCGTCTCAGAAACCCCCAGTGGCAGCTCTGCCCTGCCCAGTAGGGTGGCCGGGGGGGCTTTGGAATAGACTCTGGGCAGCAAGGGTGGGCGTGAGGGTTCCAGTCCTTTTGTGGTTGGTTGGTGATTTCCCTGGGACTTCTCCCTGGGCTCTGTGATATCTGTGAGGGCACAGCAGGCCTTGCCCACCTTCCTATCAACAGCGCCCCGCATATGCAGGTGCTCTGTGGAGATGGATTATATGCAGTGGAGGAATAGGTTGGTTGGTTGGTTTTTAACTGATGGAGATCAGGCCAGTTGGGAAAGAGAAGAATTTGATCTTATAAATATTGTGTTTGAAGGGCACAGGAGGCATTGCCCAGACCTCTCAAGCAAAAATAAAACAAAACAAGCCCACACATGTGGATGGCGTATGTAAAATACAGGTTGCTCCCAAGAAAGGTCAAGACTAGAACTGTAGAAAATACTTGTGAGAGAAAAGAAAAAAAGGTATATGCCTAATGAAGTCCTCAGGGGCGCTGGGGTGGGGGGTGGGGGTGCAGATGGCTCCTGCGCGCCGCTGCTCACCTACCAGGTATGATTTCGAGGCCACCGATGGCTCCTCTGAAGAAAAGCCTGGAAATTAATTCTGAGAAATCAGCCCATGAAAAGTCTGTGGAGCACGGCTCGGTGGTGGCACCCAGCAGGTGCCGAGCCCTAGTCAACCCGGGCACCAGAACGGAGTGGAATTCTCAGTAGCCTGCTGTACCTCCCCGGAATGTTTATATATGCTCGTGTTACATGCAAGTAGCATTGATTTTACATGAAGTCAGACATTGCTCCTGTTTTTATCTATATTGATAAAGATATATTGAATCGCACTGCTAGCCAGGATCGATGATAATGGTTATCAGTTTGTGAAAGGTGCATTAAAACAAAAAGGATTAGTGCTTCACTTTCTAGCGGGGAAAGTGCCAACTAACACATGACACATCATTTGCATTGAACTTCACTCTCCAGTCATTTGGAAACAGTAAGCTAAAATAGGGCATTACAATGTCAATCTTGTATGCAGTAAGGTATTTTCGATGGCCATTTTGCTTTTAATATTGGACTTTTTTTTATTAGAGCATGAATACTTGGGTTAAAATGTGACCTGGTAGAAACTTGTTTGACAATAATTTTAATAAGAAAAATAGGGATTGAAATGCCTACAATTATTGCTAATTTTGTCATCAAATGAGATGTAATTTGGGGATCAGTGCAGAGAATCCTGAAATTTTCGCTGTAGACGAGATGCCCACACTGGAAGGGGAGGCATGATTGGTCTGGTCCTCAGCAGAGCTATCTGTTCTTTCAGACAAACTGGATTCATCAGAATGGATCGTTTATGTAAGATTCTGAAATAACTTCTAAATGCCAGTTTTATTTTCTTAATCTTTAATTGTGGAAAATTTCGACATGACCCGAAATTCACAATGAAGCTTACAGGATATAATAAGTAGGCACAGACTACTTTTATTTTTTGGGTCTCGGTACAACTATTCCTTTACATAACATTGAATTTACCTCCCTTTTTGTCCACCCAGATAAATGAGGCTTTGCTAACATACCTACACTTTCCTCTATGAAGAAAGGGTGGCAACAGTTTTATGACATTTAACTTTGGAGCTGTATATTTTTGCAGGGAAAACTATACTTTGTATTTGTTTTGTAAAGTGATTTAATATTTCGCAGTTTAGTGAGCAACTAAAGAAGCATTGAAATTGCATCCTTTGAATAAGGCTGGCCCGATTTCATTCTGTCAGATGCAAACTAGAGATTTTAGTGCAAAATACAAATATAAAGCAGACATTTGTTTAAGCAAACAAGCAATTTGTTCATGGGTATATCTGATCCTCCTTTGAAAGACATGCAGCCCCAGCTCAGCCATTCACATTTGAAAAACTATAAACTGTCCCATTGTCCATGAAAATGACCCTATTGGCAGCCCGGGACTTGGAACACCAGTTTCTTCTCTAAGGAAAAACAATGACTGCATTAACTGCCGGGATGTGCTGACAGTGTAGCCGCCACGGGGGCCCAAACCAAGTCATGACATGGGAAAGATGATAGACAGATAAAGGTGCTCTGTTACCTGTATCCTGGTTTTCCTCTAGGAAAGTGTTTTATTGGACATTAGATGCCTGGGTAAGCCAGGCAGGAGATCTCAATAGTACCCCAAGTTACCTGCCATTTATTCCAGGAGCTGTTTTTATGAGAATGTACTCGGTAAGCACAGTTGGTTCTGGGGGATTTTAATTCAGATAGCCTCCTAACTTGAAGACAAAGGCATCCATTCAATTTAGTTTTGTTTTCTCTTGCTTCAGACAAGACTAATTCCAGCTATTTTTCATCATTCACAATAGTCTTGGGCTTGGGTAATATTTTTAGAGTTTGATATATGAAGACCTTTTTTGAAGCCAAACGGAAATATTTTGTAAGAATGACATGCTTTTGTTTACTCCCAGCTTGAAGGAGGGGTGGGGAAAGAAAAGACTACTGCAAATAATATCACCTCCCCTCCCTCAATGGCTACACTGTGATTGACTGTGACTGATTTCAGTACGAGTTATTGGCAAATGAATATGAAAATGGCCAAATTATTTGCTAATTAATTTACAATTTATAAATGTATTGTGCCTTTTCACATGCTGCCAGTAGGGTCATTTTAAACAATTTTATGGGCTTATAAGTCACGTATCAGACTAATCACTAGTTCAGTCACATCCAGAGAGTCGTGTCACCCTCACCACTGTCAGTGTGAGAACCTTGTCTTCATACTTGTACTCAAGGCAATGGCTCTCCATTTCTCCCCAGCCTCCCCTGCCATACTCCCAAGAAACCATTAATCCAGTTTCTATCTATATCGATTTACTTACCCTCTATTTCATAGACAGAAAAACATTGTTGGGTTAAAAGTAACAAAGGCGATATAAATAAAAGTAAAACAGACAACCACCTCAATTGAAAAGAAAGCAGACAATATTAAAACAAGAATAAGTTTAAATGGATCCTAAGGAAGTCAGGGAGATCAATTGCTAGCCTAACTATGTCTTCAACAGCCCACTTACCAATGCAGTGTGCATGAGAGCCGTCACAACCCTGGTCCACAGTCAGAGGGCTTCACCGGGGGCTTACTCCACATATATTTCCCCTTCACACAAACAAACAAACAAACAAACAAACAAACTGAAACAGCTTTAAAATGGGTCAAAATTGAGATCAAAAGCTAAAATCCTGCATTTTGACCGCACTCTATCTGTCTTTATGGACTTTACAATGCTCCGTGTGGTAACAGGGCTATTCCCATCTCTCGTGCTCAACTGCGCTGGGAGGGCACTCACAAGAGACTATGCCACTTTAGGGGAGTAAGAAAGCCCCATCTCTCTCCGACATAGTGCCCTGATGGCATCGGAAAGGAATGTTCTCCTATTTGGTATGATTGGGAAAATGTTGAATCAGAAGCCAGGATTTTTTTTCCTACCAAATTCCTGTACTGTAGTATTGGATTACCCAAACTTTACATTGATGATATGCTATCCTTTATTTTTGTTCATTAGGCAAGGAAAGCTGTTTTGAGAGGATAATCCAAAGGTTTGGAAGGAAAGTGGTGTATGTGGTTATAGGAGATGGTGTGGAAGAAGAACAAGGAGCAAAAAAAGTAAGTGTTCCTGGTTGGTGGATCCTGTGTCGCTTAATTGTTCAAAGTTCTCCGACTTCTCATTAACTGGATCGTCTAAACAAGTTCCATTTCCCTGAAACAGACTATGAATGTGTGTAGAGCCGCAAGTGCTCCAAAAGGGCGGCGTAGAATGAAATGCATATGGAATAACCGTGTTGAATGGGGGAAGGCCTGTGTTAAGGGGCTGTGTGCCTGGCTGGTCTTCACAGAAAGTAGACTCGAGAAGAAACAAAGAAGGCCTGGCAGGGGAGCATCGAGCCCATCCATGCTGTAGTCCTGTCCGCGTGCTCCTTTGCCTGAACCCAGGGCAGAGAAGGCCGGTTCACTAAAGCAGTAACTAAGCCTGGATACCATTTGGGAGCTCCCAGAACATCCCCTGTCAGAGGAAGCCGGTTTGCTCACTAGTGCCTTGTTTTAATTAAGGTGGCCTGTGCCTTGCTTAGGATAATACTTCGGAAGAGATTAAGGGGAGTGGACCATATCATAAGCCCTATGACTCCCAGTTTTCCCATCACATCTTTATTTTAACTACAGAATCCCTGCAAGTGTAATTCCATATCCTTGCCCTTAGCAACAGCTTCCTATGACAACTCACTGTGCACTAAGGGGGGAAAGTCGTGACCTTCCTTCACCTGACGCTCCAGGTTCTCACAATCTGGTTACAGTCTACCCTTCCAGCCTCTTTCTGCGTCACGCCGTTCACTGTCATCACATTCGTCCACTGGCCTCCTTTGACCAGGCCCAGGATTTTCCTGCTGGGCTGCTTCTCCCCGGAATGACCTCTCCTCTTCTGCCAGTCTCCTACTCATATTCAAAGTTCAATGCTACATGAACTGAACCTTGAAAATGAGTTGGATAATGACAGAAGGGGAAAAGATCATTCTAGAGAGAGGCAGCAAGTGTTTTCCAAGAACACTCTCTTATACTTTAATTGGAGAAGCTGTAGTGGTAAATGGTTTGGCTACTTGTGCCATCCGATTGACTTTGCCATTTAGTAGTTTGTGGATTTGAATCAGTCACTTAACCCATCCACTTCACTTATTTTATCTATAAAATGGCAGTGTGCCTGTATGTCATATAATAATGATACTACCATAGATATGACTGTTAGCAGCTAGATGACAAGGTTTTATAAAGCCCATCAAAGAGAGATGGATACATATGAAGTATGCAACAAACGGTAACTATTGTTTTTGATGATTTGGGTATGTGCCTGTCTCAGTAATAAACTATGAGTTCCAGGGAACTAGAGATATCATTTTATTTTGTATGTTGTTTGAGACTGTTTTGAAAATTTTAGACCCCTCCCAATATCTTGATAGAGTTGTCCTCAATAAATGTGTCTTGAATTGGAAAGCATTAAATATTTTACGGCAATAACCAATAGTATAGCACCCACCTTCCTTCCTCGCTCATAGACATCACTGCATTTGTTCATAAAGGATATAGCAATTCAGCTCTACTGAAATATGACAATTCATACCAGTAACGACACATGATGCTCAATTGTACATTTTTGATCTGGAGACTTAAAACATGGCATATGGTCAACTTTCATATAGACTATAAAGCAGTGGGTTTGACTTACCTTCTGTGTCTCTGAAATCCAATGTAATCACAGGTGCTAACCTTGATTCTGTAAATAGTAGATGATCTCGTTTGCATTCATAGATACAGAATGTTCCCAGAAACCAGAATGCTAAGCAACATGTGCTCATCAAGCACGTATTCTTAGAGCCTGCCGTCACCAGTGGCTACCCACCACTTCATTATACATATCTTCCAGCTCTTTGGCCATCTTGATAAAATGAAATCTTTTCCAGACTGAATTCGAATCACCAAAACTCAACCCAGGACAGTTGAAAATGCATATTTAGTAGGAATCCAAACGCAAGTCTTCTTCCTGAAAAAGCCTCTGGATTCCCCGACTCCTGCCTAGTTTCAGACCATCCAGTGGCCAGGCAGAGCCTTGACAGCAACATGGTTATGTGGTTGCTAGCCACCGGTCCATCCGCAGATAGGGAAAAAACCCACCAGGTGCTCTGAGAGGGCGAGAGACAGGGCGTTCTACTCCCATAAAGAGTGGCAGTCTTGGGAATCCTCAGGAGTCGTTCTACCCGTCTTGTGGGGCTGCTGGGAGTTGGAACCGGCACAAAGGTAGTGAGTGAGCGACCAGGCAGTCTTGGACTTGATGTGTACCTCTGAGCAAGAACAGCTTTTTAAGCCAGTGTGGTCCTGGGCCAAGGTGTGACTCTCCCTTTTCTGGTGGTCTTTTCGTGTGGCATTCCCAAGCCTTTAATTTCAGGAGAAGAGTGCCAAAACATAGCTTTTTAACTTGTGTTAGGTAGGAGAATCCTTATTAAAGCGATTGCTTGAAATGCACAGGAAACAGGTGAAATGGTTGCTCGCCCTTAGCAAGGTTTGTGTGAGTGTGCCTCTTTCTAAATTCTCCTGAGAGGTGATTCTTAGAAGTTTGGCATTAATGAATAAAAAATGGGAGAAATTCTTGTTTTGACATTATAATTAAAAATAATTATACTAGTAAGGATATGTGCTACCTCTGAAGACCAGTTAAACTTGTTCCCACTTTTTTATCTTTAGATGTTTTATTCCCTTTATATACTAACACACATGTGAACATGTATGCTTATACCACAAGTAAACTAGGAAGCCCCCTGCAAAGAACATACTCTGGCTTTTTTTATGATAAATGACTGCTCTGAATCTCAATGCTCTATTTTGCTTTCCTGGGAATGAGTATATATGATAGAAAGCCAAGAGTAGTGTTTCAAACAACATCAACAGCTTGAGATCGGCCAGGGTAAGAGAGCTAATGAAACTGTAACCCAAAGTGAAAAATAGGTGTGTGTGCGTGTATGTGTGTGAAAACTCTATAGATTTTACAGAAGGTTTAGTTCCTTAATAATCTTGCAAATGATATAGCAGTTAGCAAGCCATCACTCAGAATGAAAGATTAACCAGTTTGATTTTCTAACTCTATTGAAAGTTTAGTGCTTCTTAGCCTTTTGAGGTTAAGCAAGTATTTAAATAGCATACTTTGTGAATGAAATGAAAGAGAAAGATTCAATAATTCAGAAGACAATATATTCAGCATCCTATGTAGAACTAGAGAATATTTAGTAGACCAGAGCTAACAATAGTATTTAATTTAGAGCAATGACTTGACTTAAGGGAAGAAGACTCAATAAGTCAACATTTCTTTTTAAAAACACTATACACATAAGTTAGAGGTAGCTGAAGAATTAACGATAATGATGACAATTAGCAAGACGATAAGGAGCCTGGTGGCACTGTCGGGAAAACATTGGCCTGCTAACCACAAAGCTGGTGGTTTCAACCCACCAGCTACTCCAGGGAAGAAGATGAAGCTACATGCACGCATAAAGCTACACAGCCTCAGAAACTGCCTAGGGTCACTGTGAGTCAGAATGGAATCAGTTGCCATGGACACCAATGACCATGAATATAATGTAGGACCAAGCAGGGATTTGTTCTGCTGCTTACAGGCTTTCTTGCGTTGAGACTGATGCAGCAGTGACACTAAACAACAACACTCAAAATGCAAACTTGCTGCCATCAAGTTGCTTCCACTCATTGAAACCCATGGGACAGACTAGAACTGCCTCTTTGTGAAGCTGTAACTCTTCAGTCGAGTAGAAAGTCTCATCTTTTCCCTTCAAAGCGGCTGGTGGTTTTGAATGACCCTACCTTGTGTTTAGCAGCCTAACACATAACCAGACCTTAAAAGCAGCAGTAGAACATTGATGTGGTGCTGCAGGATAGCACCCCAAGCTGAAGGCACTCCAGATACGATGAGGGAAGTGCTGCCTCCTCAAAGCAGAGTCTGCTGTAATGACGGAGATGGAATACAGCTTGCAGGACAGTCATTTGCAGATGTGCAATGACTCAGCATGAAAAGAAACATCCATTAATCATCAAAACAAGGAAACATACAAAGTGTGAGTTTAGGAAAATAGGAAGTTAATCAGAAATGAAATTTAGCACATAAGAGATCAATATTGTAGGCATTCATGAACTTAAATGGACTGCTTGGTATTGTTCATTTTGAATTAGAAAATCACAATCATTTTATATGCTAGTAATGAAAGGAATAGGGATGACATTTTGTTCATCATCAAAGAGAACTTTTCAAGTTCTATCCCAAAGAGCAGTGTTATCCGGGAAAGGGTAATATCCATATACAGTACTTACTATGAAGACCAACTAATACAACTATTATAATCCCATTTACACATCAGCTAATGTGTTAGTCTGGGTAGACAAGAGAAACAAATTCATAAACACTCGTGTATAAGAAAGAGCTTTATATACAAGAGCAATTGAATACTGAGAAAACATCCCAGCCCTGGCCAGATCAAGTCCATAAGTCTGATGTTACCCAATACGCCCAATACCAAGATATGAATTCCTCTTCAGACTCATGAAACACATGCAATAATGAGCAATTCAGGAAGATCACAGGCCAGTGGATGGAAAGTCTTGTGGATCCAGTGGCAGTAGAAGCATCTGGGCGCTGGCAAGGGTCTCCATGTGGCTCCTCCAGCTCCCAGGGCTCTGGCTGCATCAGCGTAGCTCCATCAAGCTCATTGTCAGGAATGTCTCACAGGGAGTGAGTGTGTGCCCTGCCTCCAGCGAACTATTTATCTCCTCAGTGCCTCCAAATTAGGTCATCAAGCTGCAGCCTGATTCACAGGCTAAACCTCACCCCTTCACTCTTAAGTATCAAACTGACAACAGATTATGTAACTAACACAGCTAATAATGCCAAAATGAAACTGAAGATTTTTACTAACTTCTGCAGTCTGAAACTATCAAGTATGCAATAAAAATGCAATTGATAATTACTATTATTGGAATATGAAAGTTGGAAACAAAGAAAAAGGATCAAAAAGTTGTAAATATGGTTGGAGTGATAGAAATGATGCCGAAGATAACAA